ACCACTGTGGTTATTTTTGAAAACATGATGTAGTGATATCAGAGGTGAGGGTGCTCAGATTACTCTCTTTTAGTGGCTGAGTCAGGTTGATTCCCACTCAAATGATGTCAGCGTGTGTGGCGGTCCTGCCATCTGTGAAGGTGACCCCTGCCAGCGCTTTGTTTAATCACACTGTAATTGATTAGTCTGCTCTGTAATGACTCCAGCGCTGTCATCCTAATGTTCTTACCCATCATGACTCACTCTTTTTAGTAAAGAGATGCTATACAGAGCTCACGCACGAACACACCCAAAGATCTTTGCTTAATAAGCATTATTTTTCTCCTGAGAAGTAAGGGAGGTTTGTGTGTATATATGTATAAGATGGAGTTTTGGCCCAGTTTGTGGCTACAGATGGAGGCATTACACGTGTGTATCCTAAAAGGTAAGTTCCATTCACAGTTGTGTGAAATATGTGCACTTCTCCATCCCCATGTGTGCAAGTGTGTGTGAGAGATGCTAAATTCTTTCCGATCTTTCCTCTGTCTGCAAGCCCCGCAGGGGTCTGCGGTTGAGACTGAAAGAAAGAGTGAGAGAGGATGTTTCTGGTACAGAGTGACTCTTTTGAGATTTCTTATGGGAGCCATGTGCAGCTCTTGCTTTCTTTCTCCTGTCTTTATTAGCTTAAATCTATAACAGCGAGTGGTTGAGTTCATAAACTTACTCTGGTGGTGACGTGGTGTAAAACAGCAGGACGGTGTTTAAGAAGCTACAGTGGTGCATTTATTCGCAGTTCATATTAACTCACCTCGTTTCCAAAAACAAAATACCTGTTTTCTTTGTCTTTTTTTGGAGCTTCACAGAACCAACCACAATCCATGTGCGTTTTCTGGCATTGAGCAGCGTGTACATACTGCTAATCATCATCTTTTTTTTGTTTCACTGGGGGAAATATAAGGTTTGATTGACATGGCTGAGATTTTTATCACTTGTCGCTTGTATTTTTTGTATTTTTTTCCCACAATCATATATTTTGCTTTTTCTTTGCTTGAACCTTAGATTCATAAATGCAGTCTAATTGACTTTATAGGGTGTGGCTTTGTTTTATTTTATTTTCAGTATTTATTTCCAGTAAAATAATTCCTTGATATGCTGTATTATTAATACTTATCTTGGAGATTTATGCCACCACTCTGAGATTTATGTCTGCACTTTAAATTAATTTATTAATTGCTTGATATTTAGTTTATTTTATTTTATTCATAGATGTGAGCCTCAGCAATTTAATTTACACAGTTATAATTAAACTGACTTTCTTTCTTTTTATTGTATATGTAGGAAAGTGAACATTCAAGTAAAAAGGTTTAATATTTAAACATTTGTGTTTTCTTTCTTAAATGATTCTAGATAAAAGCAGGATGCCTTTTCTTAATGAAAACCACTCAATCCAGTACAAGGCATTTGATTCTCTGTATGCATTCATGTAGGATTTTTGGGTTATGCATTCTTGAGTTCAGTTGTTGCATTATTTATATTGCTATTGTTTATCATTTTGTTTAAAATTGCTCTTAATCTATTTCTTTCTCTCACTTTTCTCTCTCTTTCTCAGTGCCGGGGAAGAATGGGGTGAAAACTCTGAGACCTATGATTCAAGTTTTTACAAAAGGAGTCTGGACAATGACATATACATCTTCACCGCCCCATACGTCAACAGTAAGAAGCACACTCTTATTCTTTCAGTACACATCCCCTCTCTAACATTTGAATCGATGTGTGCTCTCTTTGGCACACTGCTTTACTAAGACAGCTGTTGATCTACTTGAAATGCGCACCTACAGATCTCCTGCCAAGGTCGAGTAAGCTTATATTACTGGGGGATTACCATTCAATGAGACTACCTCACATTCATGCACGTGTGGTCTGCAGGACTAATACACACACGGTCGAGAAGCACCCATGTGCCAAAACTCAACCCCAGGGGAACGCCTGGTCCTTGTGTTTATGGGAGGTTTTACCATTTAAGTTAATGGTGAAAGCAGACTGAAATCCTTATAGATCTCTCAAACATTTCGATATCAGATGTAACATGTCTACCTTGGCAGGTGTTACCAGAAGAATTGCAGTAACAGCATTAGGATACTAAAACCATGCCTGTTTGGATTAGTTAAGTGAAATAGAGCAAAGAGGGCCAGTCTGACCTTAAATGCATTTTATTGTTCTGCATTTGTGCTGTCTTCTCCCTTGAAACAGAGAGCAGAGAGTCTGGTTATGAGTCCGGTATCCTTGTCAGTAAAGCAGTGGACTTGGACATTAATGGAGCAAAACTCAAACCTGCTGGTGAGCTCTTAAAACATACAGCTACTTTACTGTTCAAAAGTTTGGGGTCAGTATGATCTTTTTAGAATTAATATTAATATTTTTATTGACCAAGGATGCATTAAATTGGTTAAATGTGACATTAAAGACATTTTATAATGTTATAAAATATTTATATTTCAAATAAATGATGTACTTCTATTCATTAAATAATTAAAAAAACTGTTTATGATTCAGCTATTTCTTTTCTTTAATTAATAAAAAGAAATAATCAGTAACATAGAGCCGCTTGAACCTTAGATCCATAAATGCAGTCTAACTGACTGTTTTATTTTATTATTATTTTATTTTCAATATTTATTTCCCGTAAAAATTAATTTGTTATTATGCTGTATTATTAATACTTAACTCAAATGTGACAGTAAAGATTTTATCATTTATAATGTTACAAAATATTTCTATTTCAAATAAATGTACTTTTGAATCTTTTATTCATCAAATAGTCCAAAAAAAGTGTCAGTTTCCACAAATCACAGTTTTCAACACTGATAATAATAATGATTTCTGAAAGATCATGCGACACTGAATACTGGAGTAATGGCTGCTAAAAATTAACTGGAAAAAAATGTAATTTTATAATATATTCTAATATAAAATACACATTTAAAATTGTAATAATAATAAAATAAAATAAAAGTTTTTACTGTGATTTTGACCAAATAAATGCAGCCTTGGTGAACATAAAAAAAAAATCACAGACCCTAAACTTTTGAATGGTAGTGAAAATGTCTTCTATTAAATATTTGGTCGATATAATAAATGTTATAACTGTTTTGCTTTAATAGACTTATATATAGTGAATTATAGAGAATTTCCAACCAGTAGTAAAGTCATTTCTCTGTGGTTAAGTAAAAAGGTTTATCTTTAAAAGAAAAAAAAAACAGTAATGTCACTGCTATTTAATTTTAACGAATTTGACTTGTTTTTTTGAATTTGAATTTCACTGATGACTAACGAAGGTTATGACTAATCGTTTGGTCATTCTCTACTGACCCTGACATTGCTTCATCTCATCATCAGAAGCTTTAATCATTATATTTGTTGACCTCGCATGAGTAGGATTTCAACACCGATGACAGTGTGTGTTTTGTGTTATCATACAGTGGTGGGAGTCAAACTCAACGTGTCAGCCTGGATGAACAGCTTCATAAACGCTACCACCAAGAAAAATGTAAGCAGAAATGACCCTCGTTTCCTTATCAGCACATGTGGAAGCTGTTTAGTCACAAACGAAGCCTCTCTAGATGGGCCGATATTGCTGCCAGAGAGCGGAGATGAATTGACTCGCTCTAATAAATGTTGTAAAAGACTTGTTTCATGAATTCTTAGCTCTCTCCTCACATAATTTCCTCTCCACAGTGCAAGGATGAGATCTGCGGGTGCCTCCGAAATGATAAGGTAGGGCGCTGACTGCTTCATGCTGCTTTGACCTCTGTAGCTACTTATCTAAAGCTGCTTTCACTATCGGTTTCTGATGAATGGCTGGTTTTACTCCTCAGCAAGTGGACTGCGTGATTCTGGATGATGGCGGATTTCTGCTCATGTCCAATCAGGATGAATATATCACACAGGTAGAATATATTTACAAGGCTAATGCTGCAGGTCCAGCAATACTGTGTGCTAACAGTCACACAAAGACGTAGTTTTCATATTCTCACGCTGATGTTTCAGATTGGTCAGTTCTTTGGTGAAGTGGACCCTGTTCTGATGATCACTTTGGTCAATACCACGCTGTTCTCTTTTAATAAAACCTACGACTACCAATCCGTCTGCGACCCAGAGAGAGAAACTAAAGCTGCTGCCGGACCCCGCTCTATATATGTGGTAAAGTATATGTGTCAGCTTCTTTAAAAACCATCAATGTAGGGGTTTCTGATAGACTTCTGTAATGTGGATACAAAGTCCAAAATTTTGATTGTTTGTCTAGATTGTGGCATCTATATTTGTGTGTTTGTTTTTGACAGCCAACGATAGCAGATATGCTGACTGTAGGCTGGTGGGCCTCCACTGCGGTCTGGTAAGAAGAAATAGACACCACTCACTGAGAAACAGACATAGAAAAGGATTGCAGTGTGAAGTGGATGTTCTAATTTTTTTCTTCCTTTTAGGTCAGTTTTGCAGCAGCTACTTCTCAGTCTGACTCTCCCAAATATAGTGGGAACAGGTATGTTTCATAAACAAAACCCAGAAATTCTGTCTCTTCTATTGGCATTCAAGAACTTTGGATTTTTTCAATCA